ACCCAAATTTTTCAGCATCAACATGCATATTCCGTCGGGTCCAATGGCTTTGGAGGCTTTCGCCTTCCCGATGGATACCCTTACCTCACCGCTGGTGAAAACAAGAGGCGCACTGGGTTTTGGCATTTTGTGCAGCCTTCTGGTCACTCGACGTTTGGCTTTATCCACCGGAGGTGCAGGATGAACTGCCGGCTAAAATAGCTCGCGCATCTCTCCGGGTCCGACGAAGCGTGGTAACCAAAGTCTATCTCGACTCTGTCGTCGCGCTTCGTCGATTTGGACAACGACCTCACGGTTGACCAAAGCTTGCTCACACCAGAGGCGAAGTTGCAGGCCTTCAAATGTACGTTCACAAGTTGCCGAATCTCCGAATTGAGATCCCTAATACGGGGATTTCTGGGATCAGCTAGAACAGCTGCTTCGGCAGGAAAGTTCGGACATGGAACCTTAATACATCCTGCTGGGATGAAGCGAGCTGCAGCAGCGGTGACAACCCTTCGGAACTTACGTACACCTACATGAATGACGTTTGATATGGGTAGTGCAGTGAAGGCGCTCTCAGTAACATCCGTGAAGGCTTTCCAATCAGCTTTAGAGAAGTTGATATAGGTCCGCTGTTCCGCGGAAGCGAAGTCGGTAGGTTTATCAATCGAGATGACTATGCGCAGATGGTCTGATGCTAGGGTCAGCACAGGTCGCCATGATACGCTGTTTATCAGACCAGGGCTGATCTAACAATTATCTGGCGAGCTGCAGCAGCTGCCCATAATCCTGGTGGGTGTGTCGTCTTTCATTGTGCAGAATGTCGAATCCTCTATCTGCTCAGCCAGATGTATTCCCCTCCGATCATTTGACAGGCTTGAGTGCCAAAGATCGTGGTGCGCGTTAAAGTCACAACTACCATACGGTTTTCACCTATTTCAGGGTGATATCCTGCCGGGCAGCTGGTGACAGGGGGTATGTATTCGTTAAATATTTCGAGCTCAAGATCACCTGACCGGATAGCAACACCCTGACATTCTAGAATGGTATCCCTGCGGTCGATGTCTGCTTCAATAAGACGATACTGCACGGTGTGGTGCGGGATGAACGCTAAACCTCCACCATTATCTTGCTCGTGATCTCGACGGTGCACGTTGTATCCGGCGCAATTCAACAGGGTTGAATTGGCGTGCAACTTCGTCTCTTGGACCGCAGCTATTAATATTCCATGCCTTCCGATAAAGAAAGTTATCTCCTCGATCTTGCTCTGGAGTCCGTTACAGTTAAATTGTAGCATCTTTGTATGCCTTGGGAGACCAATTGTGATGTGTGGTGTTAAAGAGTTATGTTGGCTGCCGGTCCTCTGCTGTACGTGCTGCAAAGGGGGGTGCTGCCTTGTGGTGGTGGTTGGCGGCGTCGCGGGGAGGGATGCGACGGGGCAGCACAGCAGGGGCCCACATAGTCACTCGTCCAATGTCGCGTGTTGCGAAGTCCTGAGCACGCCCTAAAGTGGCACCAGCCGAGGCAAGAGTTGAACTTGACTGATGTCACGTTACGGTATATTCTGGACTGACAAACAGAGCAGATTGTCGGAGGGACCAGGAGTAGCCGGCGGCGGTGTGTGGGTGCTATTGTGTTTATTTGTGTGTCTATTGTTGTGCTGTGTTGGGGTGTGGATGTGTTGATTGTGTGCTGCCCAGGCGGGTGGTGGTTTGCCGTGGAGAAGGTCCGGTTCGCACAGCATGGGGCCACGAACGACTTGGTCCATTGCCGGTGCGTACGTAGGCCCGAGCAGTTACGGAGGTGACTCCACCCGTCACCGGCATTGCACCTGACAAAGGTGGGGTTTGTATGCAGTCGTCTCTGGTTTTAGTTTAGATTTCTGGCCCTGGGATTGACTCTATACCAGCCCTGAACAGAAGTGTACGGAGAAGATGTAGCCCTAAACGGGGTTAGATCGCCGAAACAACAGCCCTTGGTGGGGTAAAACCCAAGTCATTCCGGTACGTAGAACCGGCTGTCGTGGGAAAGTGCGCTGTTGGTAATCGACACAGCTATAAAATTTTTATGCAACGTAGAATAGGTGGCAATCATTTCTGCATATTTAACTCAAATTTTTTTATGACACTTGCAGCAAATGTACTATATGTATCTAAATATAGGGGGAGATTACGATAACCGGGGCGACAAATTTTGACTTTGCAATTGGAAAGCTGGGCTTCTCCGCTTTTCAAATATACCCACTTTTAGGGGTCGGGGCCTTCTAGTTTTCAAGATATTTAGTGTTGAGTTATTTTTTAGATTTTTTTTAATATTAATATCTTATGAACTACATAACCGATTGAAAAAGTAATGTGTCAAAATAAAGATAATTTATTTATTTCTCAGTTCCAGTATCTAATTAATATTATTTGTCATATCTTAAAGCCCAAAATATTAATAGACTAGTAAAATTTCATAATTTTTTTCATAATGACCTTTGAAAATATTACGTGGTTAATGCTAAAGAAATGTACATTACTTAGAAAGTACAAGTTATTACCTTTAATTTGGTATACATATTTTATTATGATCTGCTTTTCAGGCTTAAGAATTCAGTGGTGACAATCTTATATTTACTGTAGTTTATTCACATAAGGTGCCCTCTTCTCCGGCAACTCAGAAAGGAGAATTCTAGTTAGTGAGGGTCATAATCCCTAAGCGCGGCCGAAAGCCGCCTACGCAGAGAGGTGTTCTCTGCAAAAGGTGTTCAGCCCATTCTCTTTCGCAACACAGAAAAGAGAATTCTACTTAGTGAGGGTTATAATCCCTAAGTGCGGCCGGAGGCCGCCTACGCAAAAAGCTGTTCTCTGCAAAAGGTGTTCAGCCCCTTTTCTTTCGCAACACAGAAAGGAAAATTCTACTTAGTGAGGGTTATAATCCCTAAGTGCGACCGAAGGCCGCCTACGTTTTTTTTTAAATACTCTGTATAGTACAGGCTTAAGACATGTTGTATATCAAATGAAAGCTTGTTTTATATCCTATTGGAATATTAGTTTGAATATGTTTAGTAAAGCAATTTTTAAATAATCGCGTGATCGTTACAAATTTTTTGTAACATTTTTTAGTCAAATAGAATTTTTGCTAAAACTTTATAATCTGTATATAACATTTGTATATCGTATTAAAGGCATTCATAATTCCTTTTTAATATCAACATTTTTGAAATCCGTGCTTTTGTTTTCAAGATTTTGGATTTAAAAAAAATTGGTAACTTCTGTAGTTTTTGTTTCTCATCAAAAAAAAAAAATATTTTGTTATACTTGCTTCAAAAACCTCTATCGACGCCCTTGTTCAAAATTTGGCACCCTGGTTATCGTAATCGTGCCAAATACAGTCATAGGCACTTGCACTCACTTCTCATAAGGCATTTTAAGCGTATTTCGTGCTACCACTTCATCTTCATTAAGTTCAATTTTGAAGGTAGCACCAATTGCGTTCGTTATTGGTGCTGTAGTTTTTACTGGCGCGCTCCTGAAACAATTTTGTAATGCCTCAACAAGAAATTCGTTTTTAGTTTTAGTATATGTGTAGAATTTGTTTGAGACGCCACCGCCAGTTTTACGAGCAATAATGGTTAAAGTATTGGAGGTCTGCAGATGTAGTATTAAGTCAGCCATGTATTCAAATGCTGATATCAAATATGCTGTACGTGGATACACGAGATTGGCAGGAGCTATCCATAGAAAGATCCGGTGCACTTTCTCACATTTTCGTAGCTTCTGAATAAATTGTATAATTTTCTGTACACCATGCAAGCAGAGTAGATCAGAAAGTGGAGGCAACAAAACATTGCATTTATTTTCTTCCTGGGAACATTTCGCCACAAAATTAATAAAACTCGACCAGTTTCTCAGTTCAGGACTGAAAGAGAATGTTTTTACAGTTAATTTTTCATCGTGTTTTTGTTCTCGTAAGAATTGGCATATTATATTATGTGATATTTTTTCCAAGCCAGTTTCATCTGCAAATAAAATTCTCTATATTGTTTTTTCAAAGAGATTATTATAGCTTACCTATAATAACCACGAAACGTTGGCTGGTCACTACTAGATTCGAAAGCATTGTAAAAGAAAATAATATAGAAACCAAAAGATAATAAATTATACACCAAATTTATTTAATAAAACAACTTCAATTTCAAAAGGATACATCAAGCGATACGAGTAGGGACAAAACGATTAGAGGTGGGTAACTCAACTCAGAGTTGAGTTATTGAGTTGATTCCTATAAGAGAATCGGTAACTCAGACTCCCTGTCCAAAAAAAATTTAACTCAGTAACTCAGTTGATGCCGTAGGGCTCACATGAATCAATTGAATCATAGTGGCTCATATTTGTCCATATAACTCTCTCGCTTCGCCACAGTGTTTAGCATGGTCTTGCATTTTGTTTTTGCACGAGGCGAATTTATACAAGGTGGTGGCAAGAATACAACAACAACAACCACATGTATTTTGTATTGCGGGTGTTATGTCAAATCTCACAAATTCTTATAATTTGGTTTTTTTTTAGTTTTTCTCGAAATATGTATGTATGTAAGATATATAAAGATGTGCATACCAAATCAATTGCCTTTCCAACCATATTCATATTTTGAAATTCGGTACAATAGGTTTCGAAATAAAAGCTTTTGAAAATATTAAAAATTCCACCTTTACCCTCCCCCTAGCACCGCCCTATTAATTTGCACACAAAAAAAGTTACACCTTTCAAATCAGTAGAAAGGAGCTGACCCCGCCCACTTTAAAGTTTTGTTTTATCTCAACGGCCGCTATACCGCATCTATGCCTCAAAACGAGTCTACGATACGAATGAGTGTAACATACAAAGAGTCAAATGAGTTAGTTGAATGAGCTGACTCCTTAAAGGGAGTTGGAGTCATTGAGTCAACTCCTATAAATTTGCTGAGTTACCCACCCTTAAAAACGATACAGGCGAATTCATACAAGGTGGTGTTCAAGTAGGCATGTTCGATATTTAAGAAAGTATCGATATCATGAATCGATTTAATTCATTGCATGTAAAATCGATATGGCGATATATCGGGCTGAACTATATCGATATCGTAAAAATCGATGTTGAAAATCATGATCCAACTACACAAGATCTGACAAGATGAAGCAAAAGAAAAAAGTAATTTTCTGGCTGACCTTTGTGATTTCGGCGCCATGATATTTTCTGTGAAAAGTAAACAAAGAATATGAAGACGAAGCATAAAAAAAAATTCAAGCAGTGTTGTGCACATGTTTGTGCTAACCAATTTATTATTTGTGTACGTGTTTTTGCATCCAATCACCGCGCAGTTCATTTTAATAACATTTGCACAAAAAATCACTGAAATAAACCACCGACAAAATACACATAAAGAAAGAAGCAAAACAGAAATAGCAAACATCAAAATTACGAACGTCGCAAACTTTTTTCTCCATTGCTATTACAAATGGCTGCTTCTCAACCGGTCAGATCTGTTCTAATTGGTTCATGTTTGAAAATCCTACTCCCAATTGAATATTTGGGGTATTCGCAACGGTGTCGTAAGTGTCGTATTGTTGTATGTAGTAAACTTTAAACGCCTAAAAAATATATTAAGGGGGTTCGCAGAGTACCGTCAAAGTAATGTTATGAATTTTCGCAGTATTAAAAAATTGGTGGTTGTGGTTTCAAGTTCTCTAGACATTTACTTTTAAAGTTTACGACATACAACAATACGAAACTTACGACACCGTTGAGAATCCCTCAAGAATATTAGACCACTGCGGCTCTATTCTATAACTGTGGGAAAATGTAGTGTACACCGAGTGCAAAACTCACAACCAAAAACTCACCGACTAAAATTCAGTGAGTTTTTCGGAAGAGAAGTGTACACAATTTTGACAGTTAAAACTCATTCTCACACATGCTGAATCGCAAAATGAGGGAGTGTTTTCTTCCTGAATCGCAAAATGAAGAGTGCACACCATTTTCAGTGTACACTTGAAAACTCACAGTTACAGAGCCCCTGTTTATCAACTCAAATAATTGTGTTATTTCCATCTTGTATATTTACTGAGGATTAAAACGGCATGCTGGTTGTTGTTGTTGTTGTTGTTGTAGCGGCCACAACAACTCCGCTGATATCTCAGTCGTTGTCGTCAAGTTCCCTAAGAAGCGTGCAGTCTCTATCGGGTCGGTCCACAAGAACAAAGCCGTTAGGGTTGTCGAGTTTTCCGGGCATGCGAAGAGATGTTTTGAGTCATGTGGGGTCCCTCCGCATGCCGGACACTCATTTGGCACATCCTCATTCAATCTACTCAGCTATGAGTTTAACCTGCTGCAGTAGCCAGAGCGAAGTTGGGCTATTGTTGTTCGTGTCTCCCGAGGCAGATGAAGCTCCGTCTATATCCGGTGGGGGTGCGCCTAGAACGGCATTCACAGGTCTAGAGTCTACATAACTTGAGACTGACTCCCTGTGGATGCCGTTCAGAGCCAGTCGGTAAGCTGACGGGTCCAGAGGCTGCTTGGCGAACCTCTGGACTTCGTCCGTCATTTCATATAGATGCCTCCTGACGTGCCTAGACGAGGGCTCCTCTGCAAGCAGCTGTCTGTTCGGAGCATTATGTTGTGCTCCTTTATAGGAAGCATTTGTGCTTCGTTGTGGAGGTGATGTTCTGGCGACATCAGGAGGCATCCTGTCGCTGTCCTAAGTGCGGTGTTCTGTACAGTCTGTAACTTCGCCCACTGCGTCCTACTAGTCCCCGGCGAACACACTGGTGCTGCGTAGTTTAAAACCGGCCGGCCTATTGCCTTGTATGTTGCCAGCAACGTTTGTTTGTCTATGCCCCAAGTATTGCCGGCTAGCGACTTGAGGACCTTGTTGCGGCTCTGTACTTTATTGACAATAGCGGTTGCGTGCGCAGAGAAGGAGAGCAGGCTGTCGAATGTTACTCCGAGTATTTTGGGATTATTCACCGTCGGAATTCGTGTGTCATCGACGTGAATTCCCAGCGGTACCCTGACCTCCTTCGTCCAGTTTGTGAACATGGTCGCAGAGGATTTCGTAGGGGAGAGGGCTAGACACTTTGCAGTGAAGAAGCGAGAAAGTTCTGAGAGATACCCGTTTACTTTCGAACACAGGTCATCAATTCCATTCCCAGTCGCCATGATCGAGCAATCGTCGGCGTAAGAGACAATCGAGACTCCCTCTGGTGGTTGAGGGAGCTTTGAAATGTAAAAGTTAAACAGTTGCGGGGAAAGGACACCACCCTGTGGAACCCCCTGTTTTATTTTTTTGAGTTTACTCGATTTTCTCTAAATATTACCGACGAGTGTCGACCATTCAGATAATTTGCCGAACACCGTTTGAGCCTCTGTGGGAGAGAGGAAGCCTCAATATCTTCTAGTAGCGTGGAATGGCAGACGGTGTCAAACGCCTTTGACAATCCAACGCTACTAGAATCGTTCTCTCACAAGGACGGTTACGGTTAAGGCCACAAGTTATCTGAGTGTTTATGGCGTTAAGTGCTGTTGTTGTACGGTGCACTTTACGGAAACCATGCTGATGCTTCGCTGGGGTCAAGTGGTTTGTGAAATACGGGAGCAGCAAGGCCTCGAATGTCTTCGCTACCGGCGAAAGGAGTGTTATCCGCCGATTCGAATCTCCTTTGTTGGCAGGTTTCCCCATATTGAGCAGTGGGACCACTCTCCCCACATTCCAGATGTCTGTCACGTTCATCGGCTAGAACAGCCGCTTCAGCAGGGAAATTTGGACGTGGGTCCGTAATACATCCTGCCGGTACGAAGGGAGCTGCAGCAGCGGTGACAGCCCTTCGTAACTTACGTTCACCTAGGTGGACGTCGATTGGTGTGGGGAGAGCAGCGAAGGTGTTTTCAGTAAATTCCGCGAAGCTTTTCCAATCAGCTTTAGAGAAGTTGATATCCGCTGTTCCGCGGAAGCGAGGTCGGTTGGTTTATCGATTGAGATGACTACGGGCAGATGGTCGGATGCTAGAGTCAGCATAGGTCGCCATGATATGCTGTTTATCAGACCAGCGCAGACTATTGTTACGTCTGGCGAGCTGCAGCAGGTACCCATAATCCTGGTGGGTGCGTCGTCGTTTATTGTGCAGAATGTTACCTAAGTCAGTTTCCCTACGATCGTTTGACAGGCTTCAGTGCCAAAGATCGTGGTGCGCATTAAAGTCACCTACTAACATACGGTTTTCGCCTCTGAGGAGCGCACCTATGTCTGGCGATATCCTGCCGGGCAGCAGGTGACAGGGGATATATATACGTTAAATATTTCGAGCTCAACATCGCCTGACCGGATAGCAATGCCCTGACATTCTAGGGTGGTATCCCTGCGGTCGATGTCTGCTTCGATGAGACGATACTGCACGGTATGGTGCGTGATGAACGCTAAGCCACCACCATTATCTCGCTCGCGATCTCGACGGTGCACGTTTTACCCGGCACAATTCAACAGTGTTGAATTGCTGTGCATCTTCGTCTCTTGGACCGCAGCTATCAATATGCCATGCCTTCCCATGAAGACGGTTATCTCCTCGATCTTGCTCCGTAGCCCGTTACAGTTAAATTGAAGGAGCTTCATGTGGTTCGGGAGACGAGTGGTGATGCGGGGTGTGAGGGATTTGTGTGGTCGTGACGCCGTTGGCTGTGTGCGCTGCTGTGGTGGTTGCCGCTCTGTGGTGGTGACGGAAGGCGCCGCAGTTCAGATCTGCGACCGAGCAGCGCAACACGGGCCCTCGAAGTTCCTCGTCCAATCTCGCGTGGTGTGCAGACCTGAGCATGCCCTAAAGTGGCACCAGCCAAGGAAGGGTTTGCACTTGACTGATGTCACATTACGGAATATCCTGGTCTGACATACCGTGCAGGTTGTAGGAGGAACCAGGAGTTGTTGGCGGCGTGTGGGTAGTGGTGCGGTTGTGTGTGTTCTGTGGTCTGTCGTGGTTGTGATATGGTCTATTGTGTTGTTGTGCTGTGGTGATTGTGTGGGGCTGCTCAGGTGGACTGGGGTTAGCCGTGGAGGCTGCTCTGTTTGAGCAACAGGGGCCACATGCGACATGGTCCACTGCCGATGTGTCCGTATTCCTGAGCAGGCTCTAAGGTGACTCCACCCCTCGTAGGCATTACACTTGCCTGAGGTGGAGTTGTGGTGTAGTCGTCTCTGGCATACACAGCAGATGTA